TTAAAATCGCCTTAAAACCCGCCCCTCTGCGTTGCGGGTGCGTTCCCCGGGGTCTGGTTTTGATCCGGGGGGGCAGAATTTGAGCGGGGGGCTTGGTTTTCTGAGGTGATTCGGGGGAAGCAACGGATAGAGGGGGAGATTTAACTTAAAAAAAGGGGTGAAAAGGGGACGTTTTGGGGGTAAAATCTGAAGTGATCTGTAGCGGCCAGAATGAAGGGTTTGGAGGGAAAAGCTGAGGTGGGTTAGGGGGGAAAAAAGGGGTCAGTGTGGACAGAAAACCTGAGGTAATTAAGCTAAGTTCTTTGGGGGTTTATATGGGGTAATTTAGAGGTGAAATACAAGCATTTCTAAAGGAAAACCTGATGTCTCTCAGGGAAAAAAAGGCGGCTTTTTTAGGCAGAAACTCCAGGGTAACTTGGAGGGGACAGAAGTGACGTTTTTTTACAAAACCTGAGGTAATTTAGGTGAATAAAGGTGAACTTGTTTTCTGGGGGGTGAATCTGGAGTAATTGGGGGGGAAATGAGTGTTTCTGAGGTACATTTTGGAGGGAAAATCTGGGGGAATCTAGAGGGGACAGAGCTGATATTTTTGACAGAAAACCTGAGGTAATTTAAGCAAAGATACCTTAGGGTTTATATGGGGTAATTTAGAGGTGAAATACCAGCATTTATGAGGTAAAGGCTGACGACTCTCAGAGAAGGCAGGCAGTATTTTGGTGGGAAAAATCCTAAAGGAACTTAGAGGGGACTCAGGTGGCATTTTTTCCACAAAACCTGAGGTAATTTAGGTGAAAGAAAGTATCCTCTTTTAGAGAAGTGAATCTGGAGTAATTCAGGGGAGAAAAATGAGCATTTCTGAGGGAATATCTGTCTCTCAGGGAAGGCAGGCAGAACTGTAGAGGGAAAATCTAGGCGAACTTACAGAAAAAAAAGATGCAAGACAGCTGAAAAGAAGGTCACAGAGAATGATTTTCATGAATCAAAAATCTTCCTTTATAGGTTTAGATCCAAATTATAAAGTAGCAATGTAATTTGCTCTTTTTTTAGAGTCCTGAAGCCCACACTCAACAAATGAATGCACTCTCTGGAGGAAGGAAGTGAAGTATCTACCAAAACTTGATGGTGAGTTCGGTAAGAGGCTTTTGAACACGGAAGGGGTGGAGGATTGGAGACAGAATCCATCTGGGAAAAGGGAGGAGGATAAAGGAACAATCGGGCGTAATGTGGATGGAGCAAAGAGCATAAGAGGAGGGCAGCTCCTAAATTCAACCTTAATATTGGTGTAGCAGTTATACTTGGTAAATACCCAGGCTTAAAAATGTCTCCCTTCCTTGATAGAACCTGTTAAAGAAGAAAGAACACTCATTCTACCTCTGGGGTGACCTGGCCAGCTTTAGCTGGGCGACCTCCCTGTAAGCAGGGCTGGGTCTTTGCTGGTGTTGGCTTTTTGCCTTCTTGCTCCTCCAGCTGCCTGGAGAGAGTGGCAACCCTGTAAGGAGGGTGAGAGCCACTGTCTCCAGCCCTGAGGGGGAAAGGGAGCTCGCTGGACCCCCGGGCCACCCTGTAAGCAGGGGAAAGCCCTTTGCACAGCCCTGTCCTCCTGCCCCGCTGGCTCTGTGCCTGCTGGTGGCCTGGCCATGGTGACCTCTGGAGTCAGGGTGTGTCACAGCAATTAAAAAGGCTGATTAAAAAGCCCCTGGGCATGTTGAGGTCCCTGTGGCTTCCATGCCTTCCCAGAACCCTTTCCCCAGCCCTGTCCTCCTGCCCCGCTGGCTTTGTGCCTGCTGGTGGCCATGGTGACTCCTGTACTCAGGGTATGTCACAGCATTTTAAAAGCCCTTTGGCTAATAATAAAGCCCCTTGGGCGATTAAAAAGCCCCTGGGCATGTTGAGGTCCCTGTGGCTTCCATGTCTTCCCAGAGCCCTTTCCCCAGCCCTGTCCTCCTGCCCCGCTGGCTTTGTGCCTGCTGGTGGCCTGGCCATGGTGACCCCTGGAGTCAGGGTGTGTCACAGCAATTAAAAAGCCCCTTGGCCGATTAGAAGCCTCCTTGGCCAATTAAAAAGTCCCTGGGCATGTTGAGGTCCCTGTGGCTTCCATGCCTTCCCAGACCCCTTGCCCGCCCGGTAATCAGGGCAGGGCCCCCCCAGCCCTGTCCTCCTGCCCCGCTGGCTTTGTGCCTGCTGGTGGCCTGGCCATGGTGACCCCTGTACTCAGGGTATGTCACAGCACCTGCCCCTTGGTCACTTGTCATGCCCCTTGGTGTGTTGAGGCCCCTAAGGCCCCCATGCCCCCCCCGGGGCAAGCCTGGGCCTTTCTTCTCCTGCTCAGTGGTAGGGGTGGCTCCTTGGCCATAGGCTGCACAGGCTTGGCTCTCTTTTCTGGGCTCTTGTTTGTGTTTGTCCTTGTCTTTGTGGGGGCGAGTGCTGCAGCTTGTCCTTTAGGCCTCATGGCAGATCAGGGTAGCGTAGCTAGGCTGCCCAGCAGACAGAGCCTGGCTGCGTGCTGTAGCAGGGGGTTTTTCCCTCAGTCTGCGAGCGGAGGGAGGGGCCGGGCTTGCCCCTTCTTTTGCAGGAGGCAGGGAAGCCCCAATTGGACTCCAGCTTCTTGCAAACCTTTTTCCATTTCCTCTAGGAACAGCACCTGTGAGTTCCGTTTTTCTCTTTCCTTTGTTTTGCCTGTTTAATAAAAACCTTTTCCAAACTTGGTGTTTTAGCAGGTTTTTTTTGCTTCTTGTTTCTGTTACATCATTAACTTTTTTTTTTTCTCATGTATGTTTTTGTGTTTTTTTTTTTAAATCTGTGCACCATCAGTGTTTATTGGTATCCCATGGTTTGTTTTTTTTGTCCAGTGATCTTCCAGCTGTCACTTAGGGTCCTGTGAGCTGGTGTACAGGGAGGTGATGTTGCTCCATGCTTGGTGTGGCAGAGCCCTGGACCACTCCTTGGTGTCCAGATGTGCTCCAGTCCCTGCATCCCTCTTCCCTCACCACTCTTTTCCCTGGAAATGGGACTCCCTTGTGTAGGAGTCCATGGACCCACAGTACTCCAGTGTTTACTTGGACAGTGCTCCACTCAAGTCCTTTTCAAAATTAAAGGGAACAGGGCTTTGCTGCTCTGCTGCTTATTTGTGTGTTTTATTTGGCAATATTTGCAGTAATTCTGGAAGCCTCAAGTCACAAAAATAGAGCGGATCAGGGAGCAGTGAAGCCACTGGGGGGCTGCATCCAGGTGCTGGAGTTTTCTGGGATAGCAAGAGGCTGTTTAATGCCCTGCAAAGCTGGAGAGGGTCTGGCACTCTGAATGCCACAGCCTCCTTTGAGCTGGTTTCACCACTCACAAATAACAAGTTGTGCTTTTAACACAGAGGATGTTGGTAGGTTCTGAGAAGCAGCGCACAGCTTAATGAGCCATGTAAATTATTCCCAAAGAGTAGGAGAGTCAGTTAATTGTAATGAAGTGCTGGCTGGCAGGAACCCAAACCACATGAGCAGTAACTGTTTTCACCAGTGGTCTAGAGCTTCTGCACATGCTCAAGCTCTCCCAGGCCCTGTGGAGAGATTTCTTCCAGTAAATGCTGTTCACTTTTTGCAAGCAAGAGGGTTTTTTCCCACCTTATTTCTAGTAAAGCTACTTGGCTCTGCTATTTTTCAGCTCCTGGTAGCAGAGAAAAGGACCTCAGAGCAGTTATGCTTGTCCCAGCATCTGGAGGAGATGAAAGTTCTCTGTGGCATTAGTTTCTTAATTTTCAGATTATTAACATCCATGTGCAAATCAGGCTTCTGCTAAATCTTCAACTCAACCTCCTCAAAAGCTGCTATTGATAACTTGGTTCCAGAGCCTCAAATTCTGACTGGGTCCTTGTAACCTGGTGAGATTTCATGACCGTGTTGAACCTTCACTCCAGCCCTGCTCTTTCCTGGGTGACTGGGCAACTCCTCCATGGCCATAATAAAGATTATTTTTTTTCTTTCTCTTTATTTTCTAACTTTTACTCAGGTTTTTGGGTTTTGCTTTATGAGAGTGTTTTTGCCTGTGCTGTCTTTGTCCCTTAGAGACCAACATTTCACATCAGAGGTTGTGCCTGGATGTAACAAAAATGGAAGAATATTTCTTCAGGTTGTGTTTTTCTGTGGTAAAAATAGATGCACAGAGGTGTGAAGTGACACTTCCTGTACCTGCAGGAGACCTTAGCACTTCTGGGGATGGGGGCTTTTAGATTTTCTAGGTCTGGCTGAAGCCTCCAAAAACATGAAGTTTTCCATTCTCCCACACAGGGACAGTCAATAAAAAAAACTGCTTGGGAAGTGCTTGAAAAATCCCTCTCTGCTCCGTGGGATTTATTGTTATGGACTGAGAGGAGCTGAGTGAGGCAGCCTTCTCTCAACAGCCTGGCAGCAAAGCTACCTGCTTTTCTTTAACTCCCTTCATTCCTGAGTGAGGAGGTTCCTGGCTGGCTGGGAGCCCAGGGGGACCCTGCAGGCAGTTCCTTCCAGTGGCTCTTCACTGCAACTATCCATGGGAAGGTGTGTGATGAGAGTTAACCATCCCAGCCTGACAGTTTCTTCATAAATAAGGAATGCTAATAAACAGTTTCCATTCCTTAAGGCCCAGCAAGTAGGAGGAGGAAACTGAGGGAAGCTGTTGCCATGTTCTGTAGCTTGCATTATTCATCTCTCCTGGGATGCAGAGGAGAAAGCCAGGCTGGGGCTGGGGAGCAGCAGCACTGCTGTGCTCTACACCCCTCTATCTTTCCACCACCTTCCTAGGCAGCTCCTAGGGGCTTCTCCTTTCCCACACTGGTAGGTTTCCCCAAAACAAAGGGGCTGAAGTTGGCTCGATTGAGTTTCCCGGGCTCGATGATCTCTGGGATCGATTGAGGTTCCTGGGCTCGATGATCTCTGGGCTCGATTGAGGTTCCTGGGCCCGATGATCTCTGGGCTCGATTGAGTTTCCCGGGCTCGATGATCTCTGGGATCGATTGAGGTTCCTGGGCTCGATGATCTCTGGGCTCGATTGAGGTTCCTGGGCCCGATGATCTCTGGGCTCGATTGAGTTTCCCGGGCTCGATGATCTCTGGGATCGATTGAGGTTCCTGGGCTCGATGATCTCTGGGCTCGATTGAGGTTCCTGGGCCCGATGATCTCTGGGCTCGATTGAGTTTCCCGGGCTCGATGATCTCTGGGATCGATTGAGGTTCCTGGGCTCGATGATCTCTGGGCTCGATTGAGGTTCCTGGGCCCGATGATCTCTGGGCTCGATTGAGTTTCCCGGGCTCGATGATCTCTGGGATCGATTGAGGTTCCTGGGCTCGATGATCTCTGGGCTCGATTGAGGTTCCTGGGCCCGATGATCTCTGGGCTCGATTGAGTTTCCCGGGCTCGATGATCTCTGGGATCGATTGAGGTTCCTGGGCTCGATGATCTCTGGGCTCGATTGAGGTTCCTGGGCCCGATGATCTCTGGGCTCGATTGAGTTTCCCGGGCTCGATGATCTCTGGGATCGATTGAGGTTCCTGGGCTCGATGATCTCTGGGCTCGATTGAGGTTCCTGGGCCCGATGATCTCTGGGCTCGATTGAGTTTCCCGGGCTCGATGATCTCTGGGATCGATTGAGGTTCCTGGGCTCGATGATCTCTGGGCTCGATTGAGGTTCCTGGGCCCGATGATCTCTGGGCTCGATTGAGTTTCCCGGGCTCGATGATCTCTGGGATCGATTGAGGTTCCTGGGCTCGATGATCTCTGGGCTCGATTGAGGTTCCTGGGCCCGATGATCTCTGGGCTCGATTGAGTTTCCCGGGCTCGATGATCTCTGGGATCGATTGAGGTTCCTGGGCTCGATGATCTCTGGGCTCGATTGAGGTTCCTGGGCCCGATGATCTCTGGGCTCGATTGAGTTTCCCGGGCTCGATGATCTCTGGGATCGATTGAGGTTCCTGGGCTCGATGATCTCTGGGCTCGATTGAGGTTCCTGGGCCCGATGATCTCTGGGCTCGATTGAGTTTCCCGGGCTCGATGATCTCTGGGATCGATTGAGGTTCCTGGGCTCGATGATCTCTGGGCTCGATTGAGGTTCCTGGGCCCGATGATCTCTGGGCTCGATTGAGTTTCCCGGGCTCGATGATCTCTGGGATCGATTGAGGTTCCTGGGCTCGATGATCTCTGGGCTCGATTGAGGTTCCTGGGCCCGATGATCTCTGGGCTCGATTGAGTTTCCCGGGCTCGATGATCTCTGGGATCGATTGAGGTTCCTGGGCTCGATGATCTCTGGGCTCGATTGAGGTTCCTGGGCTCGATGATCTCTGGGCTCGATTGAGTTTCCTTCGATCGACGATCTCTGGGCTCGATTGAGTTTCCCGGGCTCGATGATCTCTGGGCTCGATTGAGGTTCCTGGGCTCGACTGAGTTTCCTTCGATCGATGATCTCTGGGCTCGATTGAGGTTCCTTCGATCGACGATCTCTGGGCTCGATTGCTAAGCCGGGATTCCCAGGAACGCCGATCGAGCCCAGAATCATCGGACCCAAGGAGCGTCAATGGATTCCGGGATCATCGATCTGAGGAAACCTCAATCGAAGCCCAGAGATTATCGACCCCAGGACCATCAATTGAGCCCAGGATCATCGATCACAGGAGTCTCAAACGAGCCCCGAAATCATCGAGCCCAGGAACCTCAATCGAGCACGGAACCATCGATTTCAAAGACCCTCAATGGATACCAGAATCATCGACCCGAGGACCCTCAATCGAGCCCAAAATCATCGGTCCCAGGAACCTCAATCGATCCCAGATACACCAATCCAAGGAATGTCAATGGACGCCAGAATAATCGATCCCAGGAACGTCAATCGATGCCTGAGTCATCGATCCCAGGACCCTCAACTGCTGCCTGAATCATGGGTCCCAGGAACATAAATCGAGCCCATAACCATCGATCCCAGGAACATAAATTGATGCTTGGATAGTCAATCCAGGAATCTTAATTGAGCCGAGAGATCATTGATCCCCGGATCATAAATCGAGCCCAGACTCGTCGATCCGAGGACCCTCAATAGAGTCTAGAATCATTGATCACAGGAACCTCAATCGAGCCCAGAGATCATGGATCCAGGAACCTCAATGGATGCCAGAACCGTTGATCGATCCCAGAACCATCCACCCACCCCAGCTCAGGCTGCTCCCTGAGACCCCCAGGCTCAGGAGGGCAGGGAAGCAGATAAATGGGGAACACACTGTGTACAAACACTTCATTTGGAGCCCTGGCCTGGGAGAGCTGGGAACAGGGCGGGTCAGAGGGCCCAGGAGGTGAGCAGGTCTCTCAGGTCAGCCTTGTGTTGGCTTCAGCACAGCCTGGGGGGTTGCAAAGATGCCCCTCACAGCTCCCCTGCTCAGGGCACTGACTCACCATGTGGGATTTGCCACCTGCCCAGGGCATTTCATTCCACCCCCTGCTATTTGCCCCTACCTTCCCTGCCATCCATCCATCCATCCATCCATCCCCTGAGCACCTGGGCAGAGCAGGGCTGGGGTTATTTTTTGGTGCACCAGGAATCTGGGCTCTCCTGGGCTTCCTGCCTGGGGGCAGCAGCAACCTCAGGGGTTCAGCTCTCATCCTGCTTTCCCCCTGGCAGAGGCTCCTTGCAGGAAAGCAGGATGTTGGTGCGAGTTGTTCAGGTCACAGTTCATCTCTCGCCCTGATGGTGGTGCCTGAAAAAACAGCTTGATCTGTGTTTACACCCCCTGCCAGCTTCATGGCAGATGTCAGAGCCTGGAGTGGCTTGTGGGAACTGGCTGCATCTGCCCTTAGATTCAGAGATTCAGGCTTTGGGATGAGAATGTCCTCAAGGGGTTGGGGTGGTTGGTTGGTTTGGTTTTTTCCCCAGTTAAAAACTGTTGCTCAGGCCCAACTGTTTCCAGGGCAAAATGCTGCCAATCAAACTCCTGCTCATTAGGAGCCTGAAGAACCAGTGTCTTTGGGCCCATCAGATGTCTCCTCTGTTTCCAGAACTGCAGACAGATGTGCTGGCTTTTCCATGGCCAGCATGTCCTGACAAGTGGACACCTCCTGCTGCACCAGCTGTGCCAGGAACAGGCTGTTTCTCCCAGGAATGGCAGCACCTTCTGGTTCTTTAATGCCAACTGCCTGGGCTGGCTGGAGACTAGACATGTAGGTGCAGGTACACACGTGCACATGGAGGTGTGGAAAGAACTTACTGCATCAAAAGCAGCTTGGCCAGAAGGTCAAGGGAGGGGATTGTGAGACCCTCCCTGCAGGGCTGGGGCCAGTTCTGGGGTCCCCAGCACAAGGAGGACGTGGAGCTGTTGGAGAGAGTCCAGAGGGGACCATGGAGATGCTGGGAGGGCTGGAGCAGCTCTGCTCTGGAGCCAGGCTGGGAGAGTTGGGGTGTTCAGCCTGGAGAAGAGAAGGCTCCAGGGAGACCTTAGAGCAGCTTCCAGTGCCTGAAGGGGCTCCAGGAAAGCTGGGGAGGGACTTGGGACAAGGGCAGGGAGGGAGAGGACAAGGGGAATGGCTTCAAGCTGAAAGAAAGGAGCTTTAAATGGGATATCAGGAAGAAATTCTTTGGTGTGAGGGTGGTGAGAGCCTGGCCCAGGTTGCCCAGAGAAGCTGAGGCTGCCCCATCCCTGGCAGTGTTGAAGGGCAGGCTGGATGGGGCTTGGAGTAGCCTGGGCTGGTGGGAGGTGTCCCTGCCCATGCAGGGGGTTGGAACTGGATGAGCTTTGAGGTCCCTTCCAACTCAAACCAGTCTGGAGTTCTGTGACTCCACATATCTACAGATGTAAATGTGGATGTCTTGTCTTTAACACCTAGAAGATGTTCTTCTCCCCCTTTGCTCTGCAGTTCTTCAGCTGTCACTGGTGAGGAGGACACTGTTGTATGCAAACCACTTAGTAGAGAGAAACGCCAGGTTTCTTCATCTTTTCCCTTCTGACATGAGGGGCAGCAGAGGGGGTGTCCTGAGCAGCACAGGTCTGGGCTCTGGCCCTGCTTTTGCTGCTCTGTGGAGGGGCAGCTCACTTGGCAGCCCTGGATTGCCCCCCAGGAGCTGCTCAGGGAAAACCAGCTCTGCGTGAAGGTTGGTTACTCCCCCAAGGGCAATTAACTCACCTTGTCCTTTAGTTTTGGCTTCTTCTTCCCAGCAGGATGGCATGTGGGGGAGTGTGTGCTCTTCCAAAGGCTTGGATGGGACTCTTGGGCTGGGTGACCTCATGGTTTTAATGCTGAGGTGGATTTGGTGAGCAGAAAAGAGCCAGGGCAGTGACTTTGCCTGACCTGCCAGGTGTTACACAAGAGCTGTCCCCTTCTCCTGCTGATAACCAGGCTGTTTGGGTGGCTCCTTTACAAAAAACCTTCATGGGGCTTTGGTGAGCAATCACCCCCAAGGGTTTGCCTGGGAGGAAACTTGCTCTGGCTGCTGGCAAGTGCTTGGGCTGTGGGATGGTTAAATGCCAGTGGGGCGTTGCAGTGGTGCCTCATCTTGGCTGAACATCAAGAGGCAGGCAGCCAAATGTCAAGGGTTTGGGGTTGGTTTTGTTGTGGGTTTGTTGCTGGTTTTTTTTGCTGTGTACACAATCTAAATCTCCTTTCAATGAAGGGATTAAAAGGAGGAGGCAGCAGTGACATCACTCCATGTCATCTGTGCTGCCCTTGATGCTGCAGAGGGGTTGTGTGAGTCCCTCTGCTCCTCAGGAAAGGCAGAGCTTGCAGCTTTTCCTTTGCTGCAAAGGTGTCCCTTGCTGAAACAACCAGGTAATTGCCTTCAACTGAAACCTCCAGGGCATGGAAAGCTCCCAAGCAGCTCATGCTGGACTGCTGCTGAGTAGGCTGGAAAGCCCTTGAGACCAAAGATCTCCAAGGTGCGTCATTGTCATGAGACAGAGAGAGAACAAAGAGCTGTGCAGGAGCCAAGGGGACTGAGCTCTTCTCTGATGGTACCAGGAGAGAGTTTGTGACACAACTAAGCCATCTGTCTTGTTTCCCTGCACTACAGGTCTGCTTTCCTTGGGAGTGGAGAAGCCTTAGGGAGAAATGTCCTAACCCCATTTCTTGTCCCCCTGCCCTCTGCAAGGGCACATCTTCCAGGCTCCCTGGGAATACTAAGGGTAACACTCAGCTGCTCTTCATGCTCTCTTCCCTGTCTTGTCTTTTTCCCTTTCCTTTCCTTTCCTTTCCTTTCCTTTCCTTTCCTTTCCTTTCCTTTCCTTTCCTTTCCTTTCCTTTCCTTTCCTTTCCTTTCCTTTCCTTTCCTTTCCTTTCCTTTCCTTTCCTTTCCTTTCCTTTCCTTTCCTTTCCTTTCCTTTCCTTTCCTTTCCTTTCCTTTCCTTTCCTTTCCTTTCCTTTCCTTTCCTTCCTTCCCTCTTCTTTTATTTTCCCTTCCCTTCCCTTCCCTCTGAATCTGACACATACATCTCAAGGCACTGGGAATCCTGACAGTTGCTGAATTTGGTTCCAGAAGCCAGACTGACAGGGTGGTTTAATCAGCTGCTTGCTGTCTCAAGAAGCCTGTACTTTCTATATGTATTTATATATCTGTATAAAAGCTTTTCCAAGTGCCAGGAATCTTCAGTGCAGTCCTGTCTTCTCCTGGCTGAAGAGCTGTGGTGGCTGCTCCCCTGGAAGTGGCAGTGAACAAGCCAGTTCTGCTGCCTCCAGGGTATTCCCCAGGGAAAAGGCACTTGGCAAATG